TATAATCACATAATAAAACTTATATGGTTAATTTAAATACAGTAAAAGGAGAATGGAAAATCGTTGGCCTTGTACAAACAGAAATAACCCTGCCAAACTGTGTTAGGTTAAGAAAGACGTCTGTCCCTGGTCCACGGGTCAAAAAGGGAAAAGTCCATATTAACAAGACTGTGCATAGGTCATACAAAAATAACGCGCGGACACGGCCGACTGACGGTGTTTTTGCAGCACGATGGAACGCCAAAACTCGATTACGCATGCTCTCGCCAATTTGCTGGCGGTTTGGATGCGTGATGGACAAACATAATGACATAACGGTCGAGAAGACTTGATGTTTATGGGCAATATTTTGATATTTATGTCGTCGGACCTGTGCGGATCCCTATTCCTGTACTTCAGGGCTGTAGGATTTTTATTTGTATATAGAGTTTGTCTGGGTTATGGTTACGTTAATTTATTGAAATGAACGTAATTTATTAGCGTGAAAGGACGGGGTTGTTTAATCCCGCCCCGAGGAATATCGAGTACTTTGGGGAGTGAAGTCCAGACTTACATGTTTATGGTGATGAATATATATGTATTGTATGTTGTTGGGGAGTGAAGTCCAGACTTACATGTTTATGGTGATGAATATATATGTATTGTATGTTGTTTATACTCTGTTGTTGACTATCTGAGATACAAATAAGAGGCAAGTTAAAAAATGGACTTAGTTTTCAATAGTATGTCCGCTTTCTCTCGAGCAGATCCAGTGAATTTTTTGGTCTTTTTACGTCTTTTCCAACATGAATTTTTCCCAAAAGAGAAAATCTCCAAACTTGGCCACTATTTCGTATTGCACAGATATCCTTTTTTATCCTTAGCCGTTAATTAAAATAAAGCGTTAAGCGACGAAAATAAACTTTAAATTGTCCAACAGCGTTAGTGAATGGAGTAATACGTAAACAAATACGTTATTTTTCATTCAAACCAACATCAGAAGGTCATGTTAAAAGCCTTTTTGATTCAATTGACCTCAATTTTTCTTTAGGTCAAGACAGGAAAAACATCCTTTCATTTATTTTTTTAAATGACCGAGTGAATGGGCTCTTTATTGGCAGATAAATTTAGAAATAGGTTTCTGTTGTAGAGGGAAGTAGTTACTCCGACACCTGTTTGTGTATTGCTCCTTTTATAATTAAAAGTCTCGTTCACGTTACTGTTCTTTTTATTGTTCCCGACAATATTCTTGCCATTATTTGATAGTTAAATCTCCTAAATCATAATTATTTTAACAGTTTACTATTACTAGTAAATTGAATTGACCGACCTATTCTTTTTGGGCATTTTTCCTTTGAATTTTACCCGTTTTTAATTATAATCCCCAGCCTTGTATAGAATCGGAAATGTTAAGGTTTCCTTTCGAAAGGCCAAAAGGATCGTGATATGAACCCGTAATTGGATGTAGCGTTTTTTTTTTATCATCCCTCGTCTAAAAGGTGAGAAATTTCCAACCTTGAAAGGACTAAATGGTGTCATTACCATCGCAATTTTACATTTAACTCAAAATAGTACATCGACGTTCTGTTAAACAATGATTTATGTCCTGTCACAAAGGATAAATGTGCACTGTGTTCGATTATAGATAAATATTTAAACATGATCCTTGAGTTGACAACTAAACACCATCTCCTAAACCTTGACTAAAAATATTATTTTAATCGATTGTGATAGAATTCCTTCCCGCTCACTACTAGGTTTTAAAATAAAAAGCATGTTAGAATTGTCCTCTTGTTAAAACAACAAAAAGCTAGCTAATTAATATAGCCAATAATTTAATCCAGGATGAAAAAAAGTGAAAAAAATCAAAATCGCGTGACAAATTGGTGCCCGAACATTGATCCTTAGAGGTAGAAGTTGTATAGAATTTTTTCTAAATTATAAAAAGGCGATCAACCGCTTTGGGTAATTTTCCGCCTTAAGGGATGGTTAGGGTTAGTTAGTTAGCAAGGTTAGGTTAGGTTAACACAAAATGAATATTCTGTTCTATTAAATTATTATATAATTTTATCTTCATATTTCAGAAATTAGTTTAGTTTTTTTAAGGAAATTTAGTAGTTTGTCTATTTGGTCGGAGTCAACTTGAGTCTTTGATGTTGGTTGGAATTTCCAGCCGATGTCTTTCTCCTTCATATTTTTTGCAATTTGTCTAAATGTGTTTAACTGTTATTCTTAATGTATAAACATAACAAAGTGGAGTATCTTATTTTGCCATGAGATAAGAATGAGTAAGCTTGCAATGACCAATTCTGAATCTAGCAAGGACAACTTCTTCGTGCCTGGAACCCCTATGAGATGAGGCCCAAGGTTTTCCTCAGTCTTTTTTCCTCCTAAGTTTGACATTAGAAGTCGTTTCCCATTCTCTTTGCAACTGCCAAGACTTTCTTTTATGCCAAGCTGTCACATCGGATTTTGGCGCTTTTGTAATTTTAACTCCATTAAGGACAGCCTGCTTTGCCAAATGGTCCAACTTCTCATTACCAAATATTCCGCAGTGTCCAGGAATCCACATGAATACTACTCTATTTCCCTGATTTTTCAGAGATTCAGTGGCAAATAGGATGTCTTGTGTCAATGGATGTACAGAAAAGTTGTTTTTAAGTGTCAATAGTGCCGACAAAAAGTCAGTACAAATGACAATCGTTTCCCTAGATGGGGCTAATATAGTTAAGCACTTTGCTATTGCTTTAATCTCAGCAGTGTAGCTGCTACATATAGGTGGTAGGGTAAACATAAACTGTGCATTATTATTAAAAGTGAAAAAAGCAGCACCTCCCTACATCATTTTTTGAGCCATCTGTCAAACATAGTGTTGGATAAGATACAAAAGATATCTATTGTTTTATAAAATTCTTGATTGGACATGTAGGGGGGAATAATCTGCTTTAAAAATTTAAAAAAATAATAATAAAGTGTTTAACAATAATAATAGCTAGAAAATCAGCCGTAATAAAAATAATTATTGTTTGTCCTTATTCTGTCTGTACACAGACAAAAAAGTTTTTAAAAAAATTATCTGCATATAATTAAGCACACTTACGTCACAAAATTTGCATTCAATGCAGACATAATAATCAAGGTACTTGTGAAAAATGCTCAGCCTGATAAATTATCATTGTTTTTATAATTTGGCACTCGCACGAACTGGGGGCAAAAAAATTGAAAAGAAACTCATTGCTAGACTTGAATCTGAGTACCTTAGATCAGAAATAATTTTAAATTGGGCCGATCATTCACCAAAAATCGCATTTTTTTCCCCCTAATAAAGCGATTTCTGCAAATTTTTACATCAGCATGTAGTTTACATAATTTATATCACAGCTTATAGCTGTATTTTCTATTAATACATACAATAAAAAATGCGTTTGATGCATAATTACCAAGAAGCTTTAATCAGGATTGTCAGATATGATCATATTTCAGGCATCCTGTGCACTGAGCAACAGATTTGATAATGTAAAAAAATTTACAACAGTAACTTCTCGTCTTCTTTGTGAGATTTTTTCATGTGATCGTGGAGTGATAACCTGTAATTTGTTCGCCTACCCTTGCTGTTTGGTCCCTAATCATCCATAATCATTTAAAAAATAAATAATCTTTAATTAACAGTAAATACCACACAAAATTAAAAAGGTGGTTCTGATCGGTGACAGAATGGGTATTTTGTCTTTTTTATTTTTTAGCATTTTTTCTTGTACTTTGTTGCTTCTCCTATTGGCTGAAAATTTGAATTTGTATGAGTAATTTTTTTCTTAATTTACGAAGTACTGAATACCACTTATCACAAATACTCAGGGATGGATTCTGCACTTTCAAAATTTGCCCTGGGGTTGACTGAAGATTGATAGTTAAAACCATCCCAAATTTTACCAATTATGAAAATAAAGAGTCTTAGTCAAGAATAAATTTCTATTGGCGTAAACACTAGAAACGGAATAGAAAAAATAGCCTCACGATGAATCGTTCCGCTCAGAATGTATTACTTGTTTTTCTGACTCGATCCAGACCAAAACATAAATAAGCATGCCAAAACGATCAGGGATGACCAAACTGCAGGTTTAAATTCCAAGGAGAAATCTCACAATTTAGAAAATTGAATCAACCAAAATGATCGGAAGTGACCAAATTAAATTTCCTATCATTTTTAAACAAATGAGTATGAGGAATGCTAGAAGAATTCTGCTTACTCGTTGAGTTATTGATGAAATTTCTCAGCCTTATATGTTTTTCAACTATTTACCATATGTAAAGAAAGTAAACTAATTCCTGTCAAACACGAGGCCTTAATCAACTAAGGATGAGAAGTCAATCCACTTTTCAATACATTTTTTTGTACTATAATCCATTAAAAAATCCATGTGCACTGCCGGGATTCGAACCCAGAGCCATTAGTAAGTCAAATACAAGTCAAATGCCCTAATCACTCGGCCACCGCAGTCCCTTCTTCAAATTTGTTAGTTTATTAATTAATTACTCAAGTAATAATTGATTTTTTTAAATTTAGTTGGGGGGATGAAAAAAAGGTGCCAGGGGTGACGTAGAATTTGAACCAACAACCTCAGGGTCTACAAGCAGAATATCTATACACTGACCCCCTCGGCTACTGTGGTCCCTTAAAATAATTGCTAGTTTGATAGAAAAATTTGTTAGAGGCTTTTTTTCTAGAACAATTATATTATTCTATTTTTTTACTTTGACAATGTTGCCCACAATCATGGTTTTCTTTTTCATTATTTTGTCAAAACGGAGTGTAATTATGTAAAGGGTTGCAGATGAGGGGTCAGAAATACTTTTAATGCATTTCATTATATTTATTATTAATCAAAAATTCAATGACCATGCCAGGATTCAAACCCAGAACCACGAGCGTGGCAGATATGAGTCAGACCACTCAGCCACCGCAGTCCCTGCCCCATGGATATAATGTCATGGAAGACAGAAAAAAATATAATTCATAAGACATAAAAATATATTTGATTAAATGTTGGGCAACGATAAAAATACAATAATATGGATTTATAAAACATATTTTCTAAACAACAACAGATGGTCCCGTATAACTAATCGATATTTGAGATTTAATACTAAATCTCTATTTACAGGCAATACATTCATAATTAAATGATTTGTAGTAAAATAAACAAAAACAAACTACAAACTGAATGGAAATTGAGATGACTAATTGTGTAATTACAAACAAAAAGTTCTATGTACAAGTTTAACTAAATTATAATTAAACAGAAATAACCTAACCCGAAGAGGCAAAAATGGTAAACTACTCAACAAAGAACATAAGAGAAAAATTCAATTTTAAAAACAAAACAATTTGATTTATTCACTATCTCGCCTTTATTGAGCAGATACTTTAAGTAATTTTATTAATTTAAAAAACTATCACAGGAAACACAATTAATATATTAACGCAAGGAATGTACACATTACATCTATGCATATATTTTTCTTTTCTCTTTTCTCTTTTAGTAATTGCAAGCATTTACCTTGAGCACTTTCAATTAAAAATAAAGAGTTTAAATTGACTCCGATACAGATCTAAATAATTGTTCTACATTATTTTTCTGCATGAAATTAATGTTGAAGTACATTGTAAGAGGCACTTAAAGTAATTATTGAACCGTAAAAAAATATGTCATGGATTACTCTTTATTCTATCGTTGCGACATAAGTTTCCATCTTAAAAACAAGAATGCTGCTATTCTCAGAATGAGGAAAATAACAACCAAAGCGATTATATCCAGTTTGAAGTCAGCATCAAGCATGTCAAGCTCTTCCAGTGTTGTTTCAGGAGATTTAAAATGGCAATAGACCTGTAGAAAAACAGCGTTTAATAAAAAAATTTACTCAAAGAATTATCAATTAATTAATTTACCTGGAAACATTTGAGTTTTTCCCTTCCGAACGAGTACGTGGCAAGGGCAGTGCCCTCGAACCCGTATCTGATGTAGCTGAGGTACGTGATCCACCTGAGGTATATCGGTATGGCATCAAAGCTGACAAAGAATCCGGAAAAGAGGAGGAATGGCACCGACATGACTGGAGCGAGGAAAACACCGTTCTGAACATTCATGGCTGCGCCGACGACAAGGCCGACGGACTGGGCGACAAATGAAATGAGAAGGCACGCTGACAAGAACATTGCGTATCTGGAAATTTCCGGCGGCTGCGATGTTAAATAGTAAACGATCGAGACGTACAAGATGCAAAACACAGTCTGAAATTAATTATAATAAATTAATTATTAAGAAAATGATTAATCAATAAAGTTGCTTGTAACTAAAAAAATGTTTCTATAACAATATTATGTTATTTATATTATATTCTACATGATTTCTGCTGGTAAATATAGACCACAGTGGTTGAGTGGTTAGGGCATCCGACTCATATATGCCACACTATGTAATTGATAATAAATAGTATAAAAATGTAGTGATCATATGAAAGAAATCAAACTCAACTACACTGTGATAGAAATCAAAAATAAAGTCAAATATCTAGGCATCACACTAGATAAAACACTAACATTTAAGGAACACATCAGCTCCATCATCACAAAGGCAACACGAGCTTTGACGGTGTGCAGAAGAATAGCAAGGAGAAACTAGGGATGTAGGCCAGAAACCCTGTTATGGATGTACACCATAATAGTAAGACCTTTTACTTACATACGGAGCTATAGCCTGGGCTGGTAAAGCGGAACAAATAACCAAAAGGAAAGAACTCACAAAAATACAGAGACTTGCATGCATCTGCATAACGGGAGCATGAGAACATGTCCTACAATTAGCATTGAAAAGATATTGGGACTAATCCCCCTACATCACATGGTAGAAAGGACAGCACAGAAAACCATAATCAACATTATTAGAGAGAAACCTCCAACAGGAATAAAACTGAAATGGAGAGACAGAAACAAACTGTGGAAAAAACCATCCATCACTCATGGCTCCAAGAGATGACATGAACAGGATGTTTGAATTTAACCAAAAATTCCGAATACATCTGGGCACCAAAAAAGAATGGGAAGGAAAGGGAAATAACTCCCTTAAAAATGGCACCATCCTTTGGTACACAGATGGATCTAGAACACAAGAAGGTACGGGAGCAGGAGTATTTGGACCCGGAACCAAATACTCAGAACCCATGGGAAAACACACTAGAATCTTCCAAGCTGAGATTCACGCAATTGAAAGATGTATTCAATTCAATCTAAATAAAGGATACAAAAACAAGAATATAGCTATCATGTCAGATAGCCAAGCAGCCATCAAAGCACTAAGCTCAAATACCATTAATTCAAGGATGGTGCTGAACTGCAAAACCAAACTAAATATATTAGGTATGCAGAATAAAGTCAGCCTCTGCTGGATCCCAGGACACATGGGAGTAGAAGGCTGTAACCCCTTTGGGTATTTGCTTGACCTCAAAAGGTGTACCAAAAATTTATGGTCCGGCTCTTTCGCCAGTTTTAAATTAAAAAAAATAACAAACAAAATCTCAACTCAAAATGTATTTACAAATAAAATTTCAACTTCAAATTTTAAAGAAACAAAATACGTTTTCTGGGACAAATAAAAAAAACCTTGAATAACTAAGGGGGAGCCTTGACTCACCTTGAAAGAAAATTTCTAATTAAAATCGTCTGGACAGCACCAAAGACAGGGCAGGAGTGAGTTCCCCCGCTCTGATCATAAGAGACGGAAAAGATAATCCGCCCCTGCCCATCGGTACTGGCGATTAGAGGCGTGACAAGGCAACGAGAAAGCGGACACCCTTGCAAGGAAAGGGGCTGCCACACTGCTGATAGGACCCGAACCCTTCTGTGGCATAGGAATCCACACTATTAACGAATATCTCAGACAGAAGGACAAAAAGAAAATGAGTGAACTTTGGAATTCACTTATTGGACATAGACAATCCAAGAATCTTCTAACCAATTTTGGCAAGAAAGAAATCACAGCATGTGTCAAAGGAGCAGGAACAGACTGCGAATCCTAACAGGATTCCTAACAGGACACTGTAGATTAAATGGACATCTAAAGAAACTTGGAACAATCCAAGATGGCACATGTAGATTCTGCAAGGAAGCAGAAGAGACACCAACACACTTACTAACAAACTGCGAAGCTACATTAGCCCGCAGGAGGAAGTGTTTTGGGATGTACAATGTGACCATTCAAATCAGAGCTTCAACCATTGAAATCAAGTTTCTTGATGAAATAGGACTCACTGATGTGCTTTAGGCAGAGCATGGGGGATACAATAGCTCTTAAAGGGCGCAGTATACTTACCCTGAAATTACATCTACATCTACATCTACATCTACATCTACATAAAAATGTAGTGGTTTGACCCTCGTTCACAACACCCAACTGGTAGTATATAGTAGCTATCCTGTATGACAGGAATTACTTTAATAAGTACATAGATCAGGGGACCACAGCGATTGAGTGGTTAGAGCATCTGTCTCATATTTGCCACGCTCTGGTTCTGTATTTGAATCTCAGCATAGAGCGTGGTTTTTAATTGATAATAAATAGTATGAAAAATTTATTTTGATGTGGTTTGAACCTCATCCATGACACCTAACAGATAATCGGTAATTAAACTATCCTGTATGACTTAACTAAGTCCAAAGAGTATAAATGATAAAACTTACTTGAAAAGGTATATCAGAAACTGTAATTGCCATATAATAAGACCGTAATGAGTACCACCGATTGAAATTTTCTTTAATTAAAACAGGCATCTCCAATGGGACTGAAACATGAAATTTATAAAAATAAACAAAATTAAAAAACAAAAATTATTTGTAAACTCACATGACAATATTGTGATTGTCATCGATGTGTACATGAGGAATAGCATGTTGAAGAAGAGGAATCCCAAATTACTGAGTACCTTTGCTCCATCGTTACCGATGTCGTAGTAGAGAGCTCCGATCAAGATGCCGACGAGAATATGGGCGAACAATCTCAAATACATGAGCGTCTGAAATTTTTTAATTAAATTAAACACTGTGCGATGATTGAAAACTTTTGACTTACCCAGTCTCGGCGTGAGAAAAGAAGTGCTCGTTTAAGTACAATCCAGAACTGGTTGAATTCCGACGTCCCATAACGGTTTTGGTTTTTCGGTAAAGCCTCAGGAAGCAGGTTTGATGTGACACCGCTGGTTTTCTCGTTGTCTCCAGTCAATTCAATTGGAATGACGACACCATCACCGGCTAATGATATTTTCATTAATAATCAGGGAAAAATTTTGTTTAAATATTTTATTTCTTACTTTGTTGAGAAGTATCCTTCGCAATGTCATCACGAGCATAGGCAAGAAGCATATTATTTGTTCCATTTGAGTTATTACTTGGATTTTCAGCGTTTGACGAATTGTTTACTTTTTTATCTGCATTTGCATTGTTAAGCTGCTGTTCTGAAGTTGTAAAAGGTTTCCCGGCTTGAATATCACATTTTCCGTTTTGTATAGCAGTGACCAGTTTTCTTACATAATCACCATACTCTCCACAAGATACTTCGATGACTGCAAGGAAAACCATGTTTTAGAAAATTTATTACCAATTATTTCACTCGATGACTCACTGAATGAAGCAGGGTTGTGATAGCTGGGGCAGACGAGGCCGAGCGTTGCCATGAAAGGAACAAGCTGTTGTGTCGAACCTTGATAAACACACTGACCCTCAGCCAAAGTGTAAAGATGGTCGAACATTTCAAACAGCCTTGCGCTCGGCTGGTGGATGGTGCAGATGATCGTCCGTCCACCACGGGAGAGGCTCTTCAGAAGGGATATACATTGGAAGCATGATGAACTGTCCAAACCACTAAAAAACGCACATGATTATAGAAGTTTTTATTAATTTTAATTTAAAATATAATAGAAACCGACCTGGTAGGCTCATCAAAAAACATGATGGGAGGATTGTTCACAAGCTCCAGGGCGATCGAAAGTCTCTTCTTTTGCCCACCTGACAGATTTGACGTCTTCGTCTTTACATGCTCCTGAAGACCCAGGGTTTCCAAAATTTCTTGAATCTACAAAAAAATATACATATTTAGAAATAATGAAAAGGAAAATGTAGCCTATACTGAAAGATATGATATAAAATTAAGCAAAAAAAGTCCCAGTACTTTGGTTATCTCTGGTCATCCAGTACAATAGAACATGACCGAAATTCATCACCTCACTGACCTTAACATATTATCTTAAAATAAAAAATTTTTTAAACCTTCTTAACCTTATTTCTTATAAAAATTCATTTTGACAAATTGATATTTTCACTGTATAAAATTAATATTAATAATATTCCTGGATAATATTCCTAAATATTACATCATAAATACAATTTGAATAATATAATATAAACCCAGCTAACATCTAAAGTTTGGTCATTTCTGATCAGTTTTGTCTGCCTATCCATGATGTTTTGGTTTCCCATCAGACTCACTCCAGACAGTGGGAACACAACTGGCATATAAAAGACCAAAACAAGCGAGGATAGGCAGACCAAAAGATCAGAAACGACCAAATTACAGGTTCGTCACTTGGCAGACCCCATGGAGAAATCTACCAATATCATACATGTTTATTCTATGTAATTTTCAAATTTCTTCTTCTAATTCTAATTCTTACTAAATTCACTATTTTTCATGGTCCGCTTGACCAATTGATAACATTCAATTAATTAAGGTTTTAAGTCGAGATAAAAAAGTCAGTGTCACAAGCAGGATTCGAACCCACGACCTTCGGCTTTATACACCGCTACTCTACCACTTGAGCTATCGTGAATTCAATCCACTCGGACACTAACTTCCCATCTCAACCCCACCTTTTTTTAATTTTCCCTCCTTTTTGCCATTTTTCAAATGTCATGTAATCTATTTGATTCTCGGTGACAAATGAAGTGGCCACGGAGAGCTTTAGTGAAGTATACTTCATTTTTAATTCATTAAATTCACTATTTTTCGTGGTCCGCTTGACCAATTGATAACATTCAATTAATTAAGGTTTTAAGTCGAGACAAAAAGGAGGGAAAATTCAAAAGGTGGGAAGTTAGTGTCCGAGGGGATCAAAGTCACAATAGCTCAAGTGGTAGAGTAGCAGCGTATCAAGCCGAAGGTCGTGGGTTCGAAAACCGCTCATGACACTGATTTTTTTATCTCGACTTAAAACCTTAATTAATTGAATGTTATTCTTACTATTAAAACACATAACGTCTAGTCATAAACTGGAGAAAACTTTTCTTTTTTTTATTGTCAGATTAATTCTGGAGGTCTGCATGGTGATGAACCTGAAGTTGGGTCAGTTGCAATAATTTTGGTCTGTCTATACTTACTGTTTTGATCTGTGAGACATGTTTAGTCTTCCTTTCAGACAAAATGAACGCCGAAGAGGAAAAGAAGCCGAAACAAAAAGGATAGGCAGACCAATATAATTAGAAACAACCAAAATGATCACTCCACAGATCACATGGGCTACTGACTTATATATGCTCAAATCTGCATTTGTACATATACACATGTATAGTTGAATTCTCTCAGTCCACCAGTAATTCCAGCTTTTGTAATTTACAAAAAATCACCAGCAGGCGTCGAGATTCACCCACCGCAGGTCAGATCTTAGCCTTATCCGTGCACCCACTGTGGTTGGATTTTGGGTCAACGGTTAGGCTAATTCAGCACCTAATGCATACAGATACTAGATCCAAACCCATTCACACTCGTACTCATTCTTAAATACATTCTCTCCTATACCTTTCACTCGACAAGGGTAGTGGTGAACTGGATTTTCATTGATTACCCCTTGCACCTATTTTCAAGGTCAATGGGGTACCAACAACCACCCTCTCACTCCTCACATTCATGCCAATAAATACATTCACTCGCAACACTCACTAGGGGCACAAAACTAAAATTGTTATATACAATAAAACAACCCTTTTTCTTCCAAGATACTCGCTGCCATGCTCGAGCACAATTCTCAAATCGGGGGGGGGCATTACTATACTCTCTACATAGAACAAAGGAATTGTACCTTTCATTTAGGTGGAACACATCTTACAAAGCTTTTAAATTTACATGCTGTTTGCTAAAATTATTTTAGATCTCATACTAATTGCTTTATTTATTTAAGTAAAAATTAAACATCTAATGTCTAGAAATAAAGATAAATGAGATCATACATAAGCTGCAAAAAGGATTTGTTTTTTATTAGAGTTTTTCTTTAAGTCTGCATAGTGATAAACCTAAAGTTTGGGCGTTTTCAACCATTTGAGTTTAAACTATCCTTGCTGTTTTCGTTGACACATTTTGGCATTTCGCCATATTCAGCGGTACTTTTTTTTAAATGTTTCTGTCTTTTAAAAATTAAAAAACATTAAGCAATAATTTTTTGAAAATGAATCTACCAAATATCTTGAATGATAACACAATCTACAAAAGTATAAAAGTTCAAGAGAGCAGATTAATTGTTTCTTGTGTAGATAATCTTAAAGAGTAAAAAGTTCAAAAGCCTGATACCTTGCCTTCAATAGAAATCAAAATAATGAAAGAAAAAAAGTTAACTAGTTAATACGTGTGATAAGATAAAATACAATTGGAATTGATAAAGTTTGAGAATATAAACAGCTAATCGGTACATACAACAGATCTAAACTCTAAGCTATATAAGAAAAAATGCGACGACTTACCACAGTGTTTTTTTCTTGCTTATTAATTTGATTTCCAAGCTTTAAAGCTGTAGCTACGTTCATAGCTTCTTCGACAGAGAGATTCCCGTGGAGCTGATTGTCCTGCATGATGTACGCCGAAAGCTTAGCAAACTGTGAAAGGTCTCTTTCAGCCCCATTAATTGTAATGGAACCATCCATACCAGAAACTCTGTGAAAGAAATTAGAAATTTTTTATTTTATTTTCAGATTGGAATTTTTTTTAAATAACAATAGAACAATTTGACTTAGGAAGTATACAATTAATTTAAGGTTTTTTTGTTGGATAGAAATTTAAGAATAATAAGCTTATTTTTAATTGGAAGATGATGGAATGGGACTGGTGCTGAGTGGTTAGGGTGTCAAACTTGTATTTCCCATGCTAGCGGTCCAGGGTTCAAATCCTGGCATAGCCCATGAATTTTTAATAGGTTTTCTTTTTAATTGTTAATAATATGGCGAAAGTATTGTAATATGGTTTGACCTCTTGTCCACACCCAATGAGTTTGTTAACTTAATGATTATTTGAAGATCATGAGATGCGGTCTGGTGTGATGTAGGTTTCAGAAATATTTTCTTTACCGGGCCAATGTTTCGATCTTTATTGAGATCATCTCAGGGTCTGGGATTTATAAACACTGTTTAAATTTTATAAATACATGTAGGATGTGAAAAAAAATTTATACAATGATAGAAAATTTTATATTCAAACAAAGCATATACGAGTACAAATACTTTAATTGAATATTTTCTAGCATTGTATAAATTCATTTTTTTCACATCCTACATGTATTTATAAAATTTAAACAATGTTTATAAATCCCAGGCCCTGAGATAATCTCAATAAAGATCGAAACATTGGCCCGGTAAAGAAAATATTTCTGAAACCTACATCACACCAGACCACATCTCACGATTTCTGAATAAAGATTGAAACGTTGGCACGACAAAGAAAATGTTTTTTTAAAACCTACGTCAGACCAGACCGCATCTCACGATCTTCAAATTATCTTTAAGAACAATAATTTTTAACTGAAAGATGATGTAATTCCAAATATCATCAAACTACAAATTCATCCATAAATATAATATAATAAACTATAAAAATAAAATAACAATAAAAAAATATATATAAATATAATATAAACACAGACCAACCAAAGTTGGCAAAATGCCTAACAAAACCTGCGATAATAGGAAAATCAGAATGACCAGAAATGACTAAACAGTTCATCACCTCACAAACTTAAACACAAAAAATCGTCTTTTTTCTTATAAAAAGGGCAAGCTTGACAAAATAAAACACAGACCAAGATGGTGAACAAAACCTGTGAGAATAAAATGAAGGATTGAGTCAATTGAACTGAACTAAGGAATTAAAAAAAGCACAATAAGCCAATAGAGTGCTGCTTGGTTTTTACCAAACCCCCATTTCCTAGCCCCTCATCATCATCAATCATGATTGTTCTTTTTAAGATAATAACGCCGTAAAAACACTACTTGCTATACACTGCATTAAAATAATCCTATTGAATGAATATTTAAGGAAAAATTTAATCCTATAAAATTGACATCATTACAAATGTTTTTATCAGGGGAAAATTTTTATATTTTTTCGCTTTTTCCTAAAAGCCTATGCGAGCGATGAAGAATACAGTATGACCTTTTAGACATTTGTTGCAAGGCGTATTTCGTGAATTTCGTCTTAAGGGGAAAGAAGCATTGCACCATAAGTTTCCAAAAGACTCGTCCGTGATGTAATCTCACGGCTGGCTGGAGGTCTGCTTAGCTGTTTTTTTTTCTTCTTCTTTTTATATTTTTCATTTTGTTATTGCATCCGCGGAATTAGCGAATATTTCTAAATAGACGATCTTAGAAGAACGTAACCGGGTGCCCCAGATCTGCAGGCTGAAAGGGGGAAATGTGACTCAGGGCCGTTTGTAATCAGAATGATAATTAATGTTGAATATGTTTTGAATATATTATTCAAGACTGATAAAAAAAATTCATTAAAAATAAGTGAATTATTTTCAGTCGTCACAATTTCAGTTAATATATGAAGAATGGTATAAAGTTCAACACAGATCTTTCAAGATTTTTTGAATTAAAGGTAATATCAAAAATTATGCATTTGAGCCAATTATAAAAGTTAAAACCACCAAGATTTACTAGATAATTTTCTTAGTAAAATATTTCATGACAGTCTTATAAAAATGCACTATTTTTATGCACTATTACTAAGAACTATATATCATTGAGGGAGGCGCAACTTTTAAAGCGTTGGCACATAGCTCATCATTTGTAAAGTAAAGGTCCCGATATGTAACCAGACAAACTTACAAACGAGCTTTTTTTTTTCAAAAACTACGGCACCCAGAGAGTTCATGTAACTTCGCAGTTGAAATATCCTCTAAAGAGAAAAAATTCTATCGTTTAGTATTTTCTGCCATGTCGATTCTTACTTTGTTTTTCTATTGCACATTTTTCACACTGAAAAACAGCGTTTACAAGGCAGAAAGGAATTGACGGTTCGACAGATTTCTTCGTCCTAACTGCATTAAGAATTTAAGTCAAGATCCCAATAATGAAAGTCAAGCGGGAGAAATGGAAAGTTGAGGGTAGAAAACAGAAAAATTAAACCCATCTAATGGCATCTTTGGGTTTTTCATTAGAACAAAACGACACTATTTGTGTTATTTCGCCTCTGGCAAAGACCTTTGAATTGTTATCACGTATCCCATTAGTGGCATGACGTAGGGACTTTTAATGTCGATGTCATTAGCGCGAATTTGAATATTTTTTCTACTGGCAAGCAATTGGTCGAAACAACATTCCGTGTCGATGCCTTGACCTTTTTACAATGCGTTTCTTTAATATACGTGGGTCATACCACTCACCCCTGAAGAGAAATCAGGAAGAAGGATCGTACAAGCAGAAAATAATGTTTCTCTCATGATCATGGAGATTTGTGTACCTAAATTAAAACACCATATCGTATACAGTACTAGTTTGTGAAGATAACTTTTTTAAACTTATTTTGCTCGAATAGCAAGTCAGTACAGTTTAAAGTTGTAGGGCTAAGAAACCTTGCTGAAATGTTTCACGATCTTCCACCAGTTTCAAGCAATTCCGACACTTCACTAAGGTGGAAGGCAATTTAACTACAGAGTAAGAAAATCTTAATTTTCATTGCATACCTTTTTGGTAACAAAACCAACGGTATTGCTTACCGTTTGCCCCTTTTTCAAATCAAATACATTCTTTTGTAAATCAAATTCAACCCTTTTGCAATTTAACACTTTTGAATATAAAATTCACTTTTTTGTAAATCAAATACATTCTTTTGTAAATCAAATTCAACCCTTTCGCAATTTAACACTTTTGAATTTAAAATTCACTCGTTTGCTAATCAAATTCACTATCTTCCAGTTTATATTCACCCTTTTGCAAATCACATTCACTCTTTTGTAAATCAAATTCACTTTTTTCCAATTTAACACTCTTTTAAATATCAAATTAACTCGTTTGCTAATCAAATTCTTCTTCTTACAATGTATATTGACCCTTTGCTAATCAAATTCACTTTTTTGCTAATCAAATTCACCCTTTTGCAATTTAACACCTTTCTGAATATCAAATTCACCCTTTTTACCGATTAAATTCACTCGTTTGTACATCAAATTGAATGCAAATCAAAATCACACTTTTGCAAAGAAAATTCACCTTTTTGAAATTTAAATTTTGACTTTTGTAAATAAAATTCACCCTTTTGTAATTTAAATTCTGCCTTTTGCAAATCAAATTCACCCTCTTGCAATTTACATTTAATGTTAGAAGTGTAGACCAATTTTTTACTCACGAACACTCCCCTAGAAGAGAAAAAAAGAGCTAATTCAGTTGTTACTTACAAGCTTTTGACCTATTTTAAGATCATCATCAAGGCAATTCAATCTTAAATATGTCCACAGATTGACAATTTAATTTTTTAAATTCGATCTAGACTCCTTGAAGACCGACTCAGTCCTAACATTACCCAGAACTGTAACGACTGTCCCGCAAATTAAATTCTCCGTTTTGCAAATAAAATTCATTCTTTTGAAAATCTTATTCACCCGTTTTCATAAATTCACCCTTTTGCAAATCAAATTCACCCGTTTGAAATCAATTTCACTTTTATGCAACTTATATTCAACCCTTTCAAAATCAGGTAGTCTAGATAATAACAAAATATATTATGTTTTTAAAGTCGTGCAATAATGTTAATTGCGTAATAAAATCTCTAATATCGAGTATAAATTATAAAAAAGTAATCGAAAATCACCTTTCCATATTTAAGTATTTTCTGAAAAAGATGTTCAAATGATTTTTAACATTTTTCATCAAATATAATGAAATTATGAATCCGGAAATGAAAACGTAGGCTACAACTGGCAAAAGAAAAATTCCGTTTTTAAACTCTTTTAAGAAGTTGATTATTGCAAACTTAGAAAATAGAGCCGATACTAATAAAAATGCTGTTTACCTTTTTTTTAGGTGGAGTATTTTTTGAGAAAATTATGGGTGTCAATAGAAAGCTGACACCCTGCATACTTATTTTGTACCCTGTTGAGCTGTTGAGGAGATAATAGGTTATTATTAAGAATATACAGTATTAGTACAACTTCTGTTCCTCCCCTATATTTTTGTTTATTGGGGCGTATATGTGAAAAACCCGAGAAATTTATTTTTTTGTCTAGTTTCTTATGAATCAAAAAGTTTAGGTCTAACCCTCCAGAATAACAGGATGCGGATAAGAAATAAACTATTTCATATAGTAAAAGAATGAATTTATTTTGTAAAAGGTGAATATGATTTGCAAATAAGTGCATTTTAATTGAAAAAGGATGAATTCGATTTGGCAAGGGTGCAAAAGGTAGACTTAGCTTTGTTCCAAAATTATTCGATTAGGAATAGTTTAAAAACTAGTTCTATATACGAATAAAATGCATTGTATAAATTCACTTTTTTCCACATCCTACATGTATTTGTTAAATTTAAACAATGTTTGTAAATCCCAGGCCCTGAAGATGATCTCAATAAAGATCGAAACGTTGGCACGATAAAGAAAATGTTTTTCTGAAACCTACATCACACCAGACCGCATCTCACGATATCTGAATAATTATACGAATAAAATATGTACTAAAAGAAAAAAATTAATTTCTCCAATTTCTATTAATTATTAATATTAATAAACCTAACAGGGGAATGGGAACACGAGTAAAAGTATAGTTAAGCAGAGTGAAAATTTTGAAAACGTTTGCAGTTTGATCAAGTGATCAACCCTGGTCAGCATTTTTTTTTACATTTTATTCTTCGCATTTATTCTTCTTTCTACACCATCTTCCAAGACTTATTTTAGTTGTTGACAACTAATTGTTGTCATTTTAACGATTCCCCTGGTGCAAAACCGACAGAATTTTACCTCAATTTTCCCATGCTTACTCGCTGCAAATTCAAATTGGTTTTACCCCAAGGCCCCTCTGTTCACAAACGGGACATTCATAGTAATCACTTCTGATGAAAGACGTGACATGATTACGTTTAAAAGTGAATCACCTGTAACCGGTGAGGATGTTGAGCAGAGTCGACTTCCCCGCACCGGACGGGCCCATGATGGCCGTGAGCTCGCCAGATTTTAGCCTTCCGCTCACTGATTTCAAAATAGTTTTTGTTGCTGTAACAAAAATAAAAAAATTCAAGTTACATTTTACAGAAAAATACATACTAAAAACTTTAATTAGCTTGATCAGCTATTAAGAACGCGCTCTTATTGTTTTCTTAAGTTCAAGTTTTCAATCTTAACAGCGTATGGTATAGATTTTAGATGTAAAACTATGAATAGCTTTAATTTTGCTTAATTTTAAACAATAATAATTTTTTCTGAAAGTAAACGGCTCGAAGAGATCGGTGGGGAAAACCAAGTGATTCATCATTAACTGGTTAATCATCATTGGAAACTCCCTCAGATGAAGTTCACGCTGTGCGATCAATTTATAATTGAAATTGTTTCCATTTTATTTCCCCGTTTGCAAGGCGTAAAGCTTTTGAGTTGGCATTATGAAATATCCCGAGTGATAGCAAGTATGTTATCGATCAAAGAGCAATAACAATTATTAGCAATGTTCTAAAAATAGCTATGTAAAGATTTGAACAAAACGTTAAAAAAAATTTCGAAAAGTGCAGAATTTGAAAGATTGTCCAGATGTTCACTGTTAGAACTCTTATAAACCTCTTTCATCCTAACAAACGCCTGTGAAATAAAAAAAACTCAAGTAAGTAAGTCAAAGGATGAAAAAAGGCAGGTCATAACAGGGTGGTTCGTTATGAGATGCACAAAAAAATTAGGGGGATAGTAAATTATAAATGAAGTTTTTTCTTCTTTTTTTTTTCAAATTAACCCTTTTTAACTTCAAGTTAACCTTTTTAAAATTTAACTTTAACCTGTTTTAATTTCAAATTAACCATTTAATTAATTAAGGTTTTTAGTTGAGATGAAAAAAGTTAATGGCACGTTTTTCATCTCAACTAAAAACCTTAATTAATTGTAATGTTTAATTGGTCAAGCGGACCACGAAATTAGTGAATTTAGCCATTTAAATTCAGGTTAACCGTTTTAATATCAAATTAAACTTTTTAATTTTTCTCTAAAGCATTAAAAAATTGTATGAAATAAGTATGTAAAGTAAAATTAGTATTTGACTTTTTTATTAATATAAAATTAATAGGGTTCTTAGATCATATGAAAATTAACTTCAAATTAAAAATTATACCAAATTAAATATTAAAATAGAGGATTCTTATTTTGATTTGAGAATTTTTTAAAATATAAACACGCAAGAATGGCACAATTACACAGAAGACAAACACTTCGAGCCCTGAAGATGATCTCAATAAAGATCGAAACGTTGGCACGATAAAGAAAATGTTTTTCTGAAACCTACATCACACCAGACCGCATCTCACGATTTCT